AAGTTGAAGGCGACGGTTCCTGCTCTTGCCTGAGCTTTTTGAACAAAGACTCCACAATTGCATCCCTGTCAGCTTCACTCAGACTTCCTGATTGTTTTCTCTTTTCCCCCCTATTTTGAGTGACAGGTTCAGAGGCTGTATCCCCTTGCACTGTGGTTGACCTATTTGCACTTTTTAGTTTTGGCATTGTGGTTTACCTGGAATACAGAGGGCAGCCAGAGAATTTTTGGAAACATTGTGTTATTACAAAAATAAGGTTATGAGGAAATGATTAACTTGCGTCTCATAATGAGAGACTAATATATAACACATATAAAAAACAACATGAGTACTGCATCTCATAATGAGACGACTCATATATAACACATATAAAAACAGCATGAGTACTGCATCTCATAATGAGACGACTCATACATAGCACATATAAAACAACATGAGTACTGCATCTCATAATGAGACGACTCATATATAAACAACATGAGTACTGCATCTCATAATGAGACGACTCATATATAAACAACATGAGTACTGCATCTCATAATGAGACGACTCATATATAACACATACAAAAACAGCATGAGTACAGCATCTCGTAATGAGACGACTCATACATAACACATATAAAACAACATGAGTACTGCATCTCATAATGAGACGACTCATATATAACACATATAAAAACAACATGAGTACTACATCTCATAATGAGACGACTCATATGTAATACATATAAAAAAACAGCATGAGTACTGCATCTCGTAATGAGACGACTCATACATAGCACATATAAAAACAATATGAGTACTGCATCTCATAATGAGACGACTCATATATAACACATATAAAACATGAGAACTGCATCTCAAATGAGACAACTCATATATAACACATATAAAACATGAGTACTGCATCTCAAATGAGATCATTCGTACCAGAACAACTTAATGTTTACAACTTAAGATATTACTCTGCTGGGAATGATGGTGGTGATAAGGACTTACCAATATGGATATCCCTTGTAAGGATGAGTGATCTTTTTAGATTATCATGAAATCTTTGGAGGCCTTTGTCATTTAGATGAATTCCATCCCAGATAGTTTGATTCTTAAGTCCGTGAAGGTTTAAACCTTTGTTTGGAAAGATCATTATTTTTCCCCTTGCTAGATGAAAATTACACTTTTTTGCAGGCTTTCCTAATAAATGCCATATATATTCATTCACTTTATCCACTTTTTTGTTATAATCACTTGTACTTGGATGTATTCGGTGGAATAATAGCCCAATGCTGACGCATTTTACAAATTCATGTTGCAACAGATATAATGGCATTGGCAAACCTCTCCGGGTCTGAACCAGGGATGTCAATATCATTCTCTCCCATCTGGAGATAAATCAGCTCTGGTGCAAGTGTCGATATTTGTTTATACAAATGTGGAAGGAGATGTTTTTTCTTGTTTTGAGATGATGATGTTAGAAGAACCCCTCCCCGTATACCTTGACACTCGATTTCAAATTCTGATGTGTTTAATTTAAAGTTAGGTGAGCTTTTTTCAGTGAAGTTCCTCAGCCAATATATGAATGATTGTCCGAAAATGAGAGTCTTTACCGCTGCCATACTAATCCCAGCAGAGTACAAATAGGTTAGGTGTTGTAATGTACACTTACCAAGTTTGCTGATAAAACTGATTTCCTAAGTACTAGTAATATCCAATTGTAAGGCTTGATGACCTGTGTTTGAGTCAATTCTCCTTTTTATGAATTTGAAAAACTACTTCAAAAGATTTTTACTATAATATAAATCTCTCTCTATACAAGATGGGCCAAAAAAACCAATACCCAACTTTAAATCAGACTGAAAATAGCTATGTTCAATATGATACATTGATTTATATATCATTTTAAAGGTAATCCATTTTCGAACAATTTGGTATATAACACTATGTCATGAAACCAATATTAACATTTTATTATGCTTATTTGCGAGGCCGGGTCGGTATTTAAGGTATCCAGATTTTAGGGAGAAAATAGTAAATCTGTGGAATAATGTTAATTTTTTATTTATAGAATATCATTTTGTTAGGTGAATAAATGCTTGTATATTTGCATATTGTGTGGCTAAACTTATTGTTTATGAATTTTAGTGTTGTTTATTATCAATAAGTACTCAAAGGGGTCCTGTTAAAAGACATTAAACGTATAGGTGACGAGGATTTTATTTTCCAACAAGACATTGCATCGTACCATAGATCAAAGGAGACATTGGCATTCCTTTGCAAACAAGGTGTCAATTTTATTGATCTCGATGCTCGGCCACCCAACAGCCCCGATGCTACATGTAATGTGTTTGATTACCATACATGTAGCCATCTCGAGGAAATGGTACAATCAAAAGCATCCAATAAACAGCTTTGATGAGTTGAAACAGAATCCTAAAGTGCTGAAATGAATTGCAACAGAAATCTCTCAATAAGGCTATTGATAGATTGCGCTACCACTTGAAGCTTATTGTTGATGCAGAGGGGAGGGGTGGGGGTATATTGAGCAATTGTGAAAATTGTTTAAATAAATAAAGTGTAAAATGTTATTAAACAACACTGAAATTCATAAACAATAAGTTTAGTCACACAATGATGCAAATATTAATATCCAAGCATGTATTCACTTAACAAATGAATGATATTCTATAAATAAAAAATTAACATAATTCCGCATATTTACTATTTTCTCCCTTAAATCTGGAGACCTTAAATAGCAACCAGGCCTCCGAAATAAGTATAATAAAACTTTACTATTGATTTCATGACATATTGTTATATACCAAATTGTTTGAAATTGTTTAACCTTTAAAATGATATGTAAGTCAATGTACCATATTGAATGTAACTATTTTTATCCTGATTTGAAGTTTTTGGCCCACCCTGTATATATATAATGACTATGAAAATCAGTTAAAAATCTATTTCATAAATGTATCGATATCTAGGCTCTAGGCTGTAAGTTGAAATATCTGTGAATGAGACTAGGTAGTTTGTGAAAACAGAAACCCTAGAGCCTGGAAGATTCTGATTGGTTACTGATGTTAGAAGTTTAAAAGGTTAAATATTGCGTCACCACACAAATATCCTAATGAAGCATTAGGGTCATTTATATTTCTACATTCCTGAATTTACATTTAAACCACTAGGGGCTAGGGTACCTAGTTTTTTTTATCCAGAATGCTTCCCTAGTTCTTCGAAAATGTTCATTTTTTGAACCAAGGAATTCAATACCAACTATAGAAACATCATTTATTGAGTGCCCTTTGCTATTGAAATGATTGGGAATTCAATACCAACTATAGAAACATCATTTATTGAGTGCCCTTTGCTATTGAAATGATTGGGGACTACCTCATCTTTGTTATGACGTATTTGCGACAGATGATTACTAAATTGAGTATATAGAGATGTCCCTGTTTCACCCACATATTTAATTTCTTTACATTTTTTACATTTTATACCATATACAACATTCTCTGTTTTACAATTGATATGACCCCTAGTACTATATACAGATCCACATTTTCCCATAAAACTATCAGATTCATTAACATACTTACACATTCTTGCTTACATCTTTACATTTAAATGTTCCATTTGATTGACATGTAAACATTTTACTTGTTTTTCTATTAACCAAAATGTCACCTATATTGTTACCTTTCTGAATGCTACCTTGGGTGACTCTTTAAAAACCTCTCTCATCTTGTCAGACTTATGTAATATTCTCATGTTTTTATGCAATATTTGGCCTAATATTTAGTATAAATCGAAATATTGCAAAACAAAATCAATTTACAACACTGAAAATGATTATTTTGAATTGGGTAAGACCGGGGGATGACTTGGACATTTGTTGTACACATTTGTGTTCTTGTTATAATCAGTGTTTTATAATAGCCTTGGGACTATTATCCTGTTATTTTCGTTACCATGGTAAAATGTGACGCACCAAGGTGGAGGTCAGGAAAAATACTGAATTTGAAAATTCAACAGTAATTTTATATGATGTTTAGACACTGTATTCATTGCTTAATATGTGACATACTGTAATAGGTTGAATTATTTCATTAAATAAATTCAAAAATCTTCATAATAATTAGAGGTTATGTCACTATCGTGGCATATATGCCCGAGGTCTCAGTGATATATGGCCCGACCTTGGGAGGGACATTGATCTCTGAGAACCGAGGGCATATGTGCCACGATAGTGACATAAACGATTTATAACATACCTATATGATGATGTAGACTGGTCAGTGAGTAACGTTTTCTTATAGAATTGACAAACAAATGGTTTGAAAATGATTGAAATGAGTTTAGAAAAATTGCTCGCACAGTTTTATCTTCGATTGATTGGTTATGACGTCAGCGCCTTGACCAATCAGAAAGTTAGCAGGCGCGGGCTTTTCAAAACTTATATTGGCCCGCTGTCTTGTGTACACTTTGCACTATACATCATCATAGGTATGTTATAATTGTCATTATTCTTCCTGAATTGAATTTTCTTATCTGAAGAGTTATTTGTGCTCGTCTGCAAACTTTCAAGTTCCATTCGAGGTCCATGTCCTCCTTGAATTCTACACTTCCTTGGCTTGGTTCACTGCACTTGAGGCGTATGAGCTGTTTAAGGTTGTAACCAATTTTGATTGCTGTTCATGGAGAAGCCAAATCCTCCTCATCATCCATGGAGACTGAAGCAGCCATTAAACTGGCAGTTACAATATTGTCGAAATATTTTGACTGAAGAAATTCAATGAAAGACCAACTTAGATTTTGAGTAAGTGTTCTAACAATATTTTTTAATAATTTTGACATCATAGGCATACAAATGCTATAGAACTTGCGTTTCAATTTTTTCCAGACATAGATGGTGGCCATCACGGGCAAAGAGGTTTGGTAATATGTTTGAATTTTGGTCCCAAAATTTAGAATAGTGGTCAAGATAAATCTGATCTTTTGTCAGATGATCAAGATGATCAGATGATCAAGATGATCAAGAACTCGTTTTATAATCTGCTGGGCAAGTGAGGATATGATAGGTTCCTGTTGAATATATTCACATACATTGAGGCATGTGTCCTCCAGAACAAAACATTCTGTGCAGAAGTCATGCCTCCATAGTTGTTTTTCAGGCGTGACTATGTCAAGAAGCAATGAAATCTCATCAAGCTGTCCCATTATTGTGCATTCATTGTTTTTTATCACCTGATAAAGTTTCTCAAATGAGAAATATGACACTTTAAGGTCCTTATCTGCTATTGTTGGATTTTCCTCCATTGCTGAATCCTTGAGTAATTGAAGCAATTCAGCAGCAGAACATTTGGTTTCCCCCTTCCTTTCCATTTTGACTACCGGTAATGACATAGTCCTCCACGGTCTGTAATTTTTTTTATAATAATTGGCCTTGGCTTTCCATGTTTATATTCATCTTTTCTCATTTGCCTTCGTTGGTTTTGAATAGTTTAATCATAATTTGTTTTAAGCAGCTTAATTATCCCATATAAAAAAGTCTGCCAGTGAAAATGTTATATCTTTGAATTGAATGAGTTAGTATAGAGTAATAAACTAAGCATGCTAGTCAATGTTACGGCACTGAGCTTAGAGATAACATGTATCAGCTATGCCTAGTAGTGGCATAATTGGTCCAACACATAAATGCTAGAGAATCAGAATCAACAATCCTTGGCACATCTTCAAGTGTCTCTAAGCTTAATTTGCGTATTCCTTACTCAAGTTAAAGTGTTTAAATATTAAATGTTTAAATAATTTACTTTAAATTTGGAAGAATTAAGTTCTAAATTGTTCGTACAAGTATGTGCCTTTTGGAAGTTATCTGGCTAATGTATCAAAGAATGGCGATTTCTCAATAATAATTATTAAGTTAATAGTTCTGTAGGTTGAAAAAGTTCACTTTAACTAAAAAATTCACCGCTGGTTTCACCGCTGTACGTGTGAACAGATTATTCAAGCTCCTTGCTTTGTCAAATTCAATTATGAATTGCCAAGGTTTTTCAACATTAGCGGCAATTTAATATATATATATGCATGTAGTAATTGTTTGGGTTCTTTCAAAATACCCGAAGGTTAATGAAATTTAATAATTGATAACTCAATGACTTGGAACATCATATTCCAAATGTATAAGTAAACTGCACATACAGTATCCTGTTTATGGATTTCATTCATTCATTTCATTTATTTCTTGAATTTTTTCAGCTGCTCTGAGAATTTGTTAAAATATCTCCCCCTTTTTATTTACATTTATTTCTCCTTTTCTCAATTCCCCTGCATTGTTTCCCCCAATTTGTATTCATATAATGTCCACATTATGTAAGTTCCCATTCTTTTCAAATGATCAATTTTTCTGCCTGGATACCCTTTATATGAAATGATTGGTTAAGGTTCATCGAATTCCCATGGATCTTTCCCCTTATTTTCAATTTCCTGATTATATTTTTCTAATCTGTTCACTTTAAGAAACGGGACCATAAGTTACCTTGATATAAATGACAAATATATACAACAATGTTAGTGGCTTCAATCCTAGAACTGGTCATTTTTTTGCATCGGGAAGCTGTATCGTATGATCAAAAAGTTAGTATATAACTCTTTAAAATATGGTAACATAATTAAAACACTGAAGAAAACCGATTGAAATAAGAAATCCTGAAATCACACACAGGAAAAATTTAACCTGACAGATTGCCATTGGCGACCATCTCCTGCTATTGTTGGTTAATATGTCACCTGAAAACAGTTTGAGTTTGAAACTGTTTAATTGAGTTTGATAAAGCTGTTCTTTGATATCTCTCCATTTTAATTCCATTTCATTCTCTCAATCATAATTTTGTTAACCTATTTAATCGTAAACATTTAAAAGAGCTCCAGGCTTTGTATCCTGAATTTCCTGAGGCAGCATGCCTAGATGTGGGGGACCTGGACTGGCTTCTGGAGCGATGCCTATTTCCCTCAGAGCCAGCAGGAATGAAAGTAGTGTTGGACCTTGATTGACTCCTGCTGGCTCTTTGTGCAGCCGCTCAGGCGCGCTTTTCTTTAAAACAATGTGCCTTGCCTGGTTCCCATGACTGCTGATGCCTATCCCCAGTTTGGCAAAATTATAACCTCAGACCATCAGTTTCTGTTCTAAATGACCTGGAAGTATCATCTTTTTGCCATGTGAGACTCCAAATCCCACGCAACCTGTGCAGTTTTCTATAATAATTTTTGATTCTGTCTAGCATTTTTATATGCATTTTGTGATGGTACTGTTTGTTTCATACTGTGATGACCCTTTCACTTTAATTCTTCTGAACTGAACAAGAAGTCTCCCAGTGGTTTGTGGTCCTTGTCTGTTTTTCTGTTCAGAGAAAATCCACCTCCATAAGTTTGGCAACCTTAGCCCCCCCCATTAAAACTACTTGTTAAAGCCTCTTTACATTTGAATTTTTATGTACATAACCTGTGATACAATATTGATGTAAACGTAACTTGACTTTATTTCCAATACCTCCTAATTCTCCCAATTAATTCAGGAAAGAATTGAGGAAATTTAGAGGTTTTGGAAATCAAGTCAATTTGCGTTTCCATCAATATTATAAGTATTTTCATTGCACGTTAAGTATATAAAAATTCAAACGTAAAGAGGCTTTAACACGTAATTCAATGGGGGAGCTTAGGAGGGGAGTGTACAACATATATTTTCACTACAAAAGTGTCATCCTTCAAGTCCTTTTCAAGATCTTAAGTCCTATTGCAAACTTTTCATCTGTTGTCTTAATATTTATGCATGTGCTCGACATGCTTCTAGAGTTAGGACAGATGCACATATTTGTGGCACACAAACTTGCCATTTCTTACAAAATACTGCAGCCATTGTATACTTTTAGTGCTGCAGGTCTTCTGATGTCTTTTCAGGTTGTTTGATCTCATAACATGCCCACATTTCTCACACAGTGAATCGGGCATCCTTCTGCAACAGAATCATTTCAAGATATCACATTTAAAACTAATAAATGGTGATTTAACAATGATTTTATTTTTTAAATAAAAAGTTAAGACAATTATTGTGGCATTGTTGGATCCTTAGCTTATACAATGAAAAGATAAAATCAAAAATTAATAAACTTAATAGATCTAATGCAAACTGTTTAAATCTATAGTTTACATTTTTTTACTTTTTTAATCAAATTACTACTCTAGATCATCATATAAACTCACCATATACGAACAAAAACATATATGGTTAAAGTATCACAAAATAACTTTAAATCCATATAAAACAAAAACACATAATGTTTAAGTATTACAACATATATTATCACTAAAACAAAAGTGTCCTTTTTCAGAAAGAAATGACTTCATCTTCAGTCCTATGGAAAACTTTATCTGTTCTTCAAATAAATATGTACATGTTTGTGATGCTTGTAAAGCGATGGCAAATGCATATAGTCATTGAGGTGCTTATTGCAAACAAACTTTCCATTCCTTAGGGAATGCTCAAGCCATTGTATGTTCTTATTGGTACATGTTTGCTGATGTCTCGGAGATTGTTTGTTCACATGATATGTCCATACTTCTAACAAAGAGAGTTTGGCATCCTTCTGAACCAGAATCATATCAAGATATCACATTTAAAACTAATAAATGGTGATTTAACAATAATTTTATTTTTTAAATAAAAAAATATGACAATTATTGTGACATTGTTAGATCCCTAGCTTATATTATGAAAAGATAAAAATCAAAAATAATAAACTTAATATATCTTATGCAAACTGTTTAAATCTATAGATTACTTTTTAATCTATAGTTTACTTTTTTGATCTATAGTTTACTTTTTTGATCTATAGTTTAATATTTTTGTTTAGTGTAAAAACAAAAGGTAATTTTTATTCCCCCTGCTGACACACTGGGAAGAATACATTTAAAGTACACAGAAAGGCCCATTATATGACAATGAAATTATTATTGATATAAACATGGCCCATAATTATTTCCCATATTCGTTCATAAATGTAATTTCTCTTTTGGTACAAATAGTTTGCCCTGAAAAGGGCTGTGGTTTGTTGTTAGGGTTGTACTTGTTGCTTGTTTTTGTCTCGTGCAAGTCTTACACAGAGGATGCATTTGGACATGTCACATCCTCTACAGGGCCAATGATACTGGACATAATGGTTGCAGCAATATCTGTGTCCACATCTGCAGAGGTACAAATTGTTCCTCTTGATTAACTTGATAGCACATTTCACGGATTTCCAAGGTATGATGTGTTCTAAAACAGAGAATGCATTTGGACATGTCACATCCTCTACACGGCCAATGATACTGGACATAATGGTTGCAGCAATATCTGTGTCCACATCTGCAGAGGTACAAATTGTTCCTCTTGTTTAACTTGATAGCACATTTCACGGATTTCCAAGGTATGATGTGTTCTAACACAGAAAATGCATTTGGACATGTCACATCCTCTACATGGCCAATGATACTAGACATAATGGTTGCAGCAGTATCTGTGTACACCTCCGCAGAGGAACAAATCTTTCCTCTTGGTTAAATTGCAGCTCTTGAACACACGCATGCTTACATAGTTACATATTAGCACATATTTGTGGCACACAAGCTTGTCATTTCTTACAGAAAACTGCAGCCATTGTATAGTTTTAGTGCTGCAGGTCTTCTGATGTCTTTTCAGGTTGTTTGATCTCATAACATGCCCACATTTCTCACACAGTAAATAAATGGTGATTTAACAATAATTTTATTTCTTAAAAAAAAATTATGATAATGATAATTATTGTGGCATTGTTGGATCCTTAGCTTATACTATGAAAAGATAAAAATCAAAAATTCATAAACTTAATAGATCTAATGCAAACTGTTTAAATCTATAGTTTACTTTTTTAATGACATTACTTTTGATTACGCAATACTAAATCTTTACATGAGCAGACGGCAGGATTCATATTCATATGTCCAAACATGATTTTATGATTTTTGTAACACGGAGGAATTAAAGAAACATAAACATATTACATAAAAACAGCTACTCTTCTGTAATCAATGTGTTATTCTTTCACACATTGATTCTCAAATTATCAAAACTATCAAAGTACTTATAACATATATTTTCCGCATACCTGAAAAAGAATCTCATTCTCTCATTCTATAGTAATGTCATTGTCTCTTAAATGTACAAGTAACTGTATCTCATGTCTTGGTCTGATTAATGGATTGGTTTTATTTATTTATTTTATTAAAGTGTCATGAGTTATAAAACATATAAAATACAATTAAAACACCCCAGGCCGACAACGACCTATAGGACACTATAAATACATGTAAATCATTTA